ACTCGGGCCTTTGGCATGGTCCAGTCTGAAGCCAAAAGTCAACAGATGTTCGAAGTTAAGCCGAGGGACTCAGCCTGTCAGTCCAGAGACTGCCCAGATGGCTTCTCAGTCCAGCTGCTCTTCCCTCCCCAGGGACGGGGGCTCCAGCGTGCCCGTGCCCAGGCCTGGGGAGGTGGTGCTGTCCCACAGGGCACTGCTGGCTCCTGGGGGCCTGGGGATGTGGGGATGCTTGGTGTGAATGAGGAGAGTAACAGAGATCAGTGTGGCCCCCACGGGACACTGGGCAGGTGGAGCCTGAGGAGCTGGGTTAGACTTGTGACAAGGGATGGATTCTGGAATAACCTAAGGAGCTGTCACTAGCTGCAGTGGCACTAGCAACAGCTGCTGGGGCCCTGGGGGGTAACGGGGGGTTTTGTTTCATTTTTAACATTTTGTGTAATGTATTTAAAGTTTTATTTAAATAAAAATGGCTTTGAGAAGCATTTTCAGGGTGGTTCCAGTTGCTTTCTGGTAAGCAGTGAGAGGGGCTCCAGTGCTTTGGGGGCCTGGGGGAGCCTCCCTCTGCCCCATGGCCCCTGTGGGAAGGGGAAGACAAAGGCCTCAGCTGGAGGGAGCAGCCTGCAGGTGGGCGGCTTGAGTCACTCCCATCCCTGCTGTGTTCCAGGAAGCCCCTGACACCAGTGGCTCTTCTGCTTCCAACGGAGACACACAGCAGTGGCACGAGGGGCTCCAGTGCTTTGGGGGCCTGGGGGAGCCTCCCTCTGCCCCATGGCCCCTGTGGGAAGGGGAAGACAAAGGCCTCAGCTGGAGGGAGCAGCCTGCAGGTGGGCGGCTTGAGTCACTCCCATCCCTGCTGTGTTCCAGGAAGCCCCTGGCACCAGTGGCTCTTCTGCTTCCAACGGAGACACACAGCAGTGGCACTGAGGCCTCTGTCCCCATGTCCAGGCCCTTCCCAGGGCCTGGTGTGGGCTGAGGGGCCTCCCAGTGCCCAAGCCCCCCAACATGAGTGAAGGCACCTGGGGTGGAACATGCCCTGCTGGAGCAGTGCTGGGTCTGCCCTTCCAACCGGCACCATCAAAGGTGCTCAATCTAAGGAAGTGCACAAGGCCAGGAGTGTGTGTCCCCCCCGGTGCCCTGTCCCATCCCGGGAGGGCCGGGCTGGGTCTGTGGGGCTCCCACTTCCCCCGGAGCTGCGGGGCAGCTGCTGGTGTTTGGGCAGCTCAGGGGTCTGTGCAGTCCAACTTCCCACCCATGCCACACACCACGATGCTGCACTTCTTCATTTCGCTGCCATTTCCTTCCTTTCCTGGGAGACTTTGCTCGTGGAACAGAATTGCTGCAATTACGGGAAGTGCCTGTGAATGCAGAGGTGGCAGGTGGTGCTGAGCCTGCTCCGGGCAGGGAGTGCAGGGAGTGCAGGCAGCAGCAGGGAGCGCAGGCAGCAGCAGGCAGCGTGAGGCCAGCACCTGCCTGGGGTGTGAGTGCCTGCAGCACAGCATGATCTGCTCTGAGAAGGCTGCCCTGCCTGCCCTGGTGCCTCCAGCAGGGCCAGGGGTGCCAGGGGGTGCAAGCCTGGCCTGGCCGGGTTTCCAGGCCTGTCCTGCAGCCCGTGGCCAGGCCAGGAGAAGGGACCAAACCTGCGTCAAGGCGCTGGAGGAAGTGGCCACCGTGTCCCCATCACCCTGACGGCTCATTTGGCCCAGATTGAGCCATTAAAAGGCAGAAATTGCAAAACAATTTGTTTGTTCCTTGTGCCAACTGCTCGGCGGAGCGAGCGATCGATGGTTCCGCGGGCGCTGCTGCCGCCGGCCCCTGGGCTGCCTGAGGAGCAGCAGCATCGATCCCTGCCGCCCCGGCCAGGCCCTTACGTGTGTTTTATTGACCAAGGGAGACAAATGGTCTCTAAAATACACCAAGATGAGGCTAAATGGGCAAGAGGAATTATTGATGCTGAAGGAAGAAGGGGGGTTATGGTGAGGCAGGGGACCTGGGCCTTCCTGAGCCTGGGGGGTGACATGTACAGACAGTGCTCACAAGTTGCCCTGTATGTTCTACACATGTATAGATACATACACACAGAGTGACAGATGTGTGCTCACAAGTTGCCCTGTATGTTCTATACACACACACACAGTGACAGACGTGTGTGCTCACAAGTTGCCCTATATGTTCTCCACGTGTGTACATGCACACACATACACACACACTGAATCACCCCATACAGACACAGCTGTGTGCACGTGTCTGTAACCATAGGTATTCATATGACCATATGTGTTTAGATAGATGTATAAGCTGTGCTATAGCACCCATTACAATTACAGGTATTACAGATATTAGCTATATTTTTATTTTATGATACATTATATACTATATAGTTGCTGTTTATTATATGACAAAGCATATAATTTCTCAGCATACATAGACTATTATAAAATATAATTACACGTATATAAAAATGTAATTACACATACATAAAATATAATTATACATACATAAAAGGTGTGTGTGTGCATTGTTAGACTGTGTACAGTATATCGTACTGTTAAGGCCAACCAAATGCCCCTTATATTTCTGTATATCTCTCTATGCTGGTGTGCATGTAGGTATCCAGAAAGCTGCTGGGTGTTTGTAGAGACAAATACACTGCTGGGACCTGTTGGCCCTTGGATCCTCCATCCACATAGACACAAACATACACAGACACACACAACACCCCCCACCCCCCTCTTCCCCTCATATCTTGCTGTCAGTTTTTATAGCTGTCTTTTTATATCCCTGGATAGATAGATTAGATAGATAGATAGATAGATAGATAGATAGATAGATAGAGAGAGAGAGATAGAGAGATAGAGAGATAGAGAGATATGATAAAGAGAGAGGGAGAGAGATGTAGTTACAGCAATTGATTCCTGAGTGGTTTTTACCCAAGATATATGCTCTGTAGTGTCACCATCCAGATGAAGATGTACAGGAGCACATGGTTATGTGCACGCGTGCACACGCTCACTCTCTCTCTCTCTCACTACATTTATAGCTAAATCCAGTAGTTTGTATGAACGTAGATCATCTTATATGCATTTTTATGTTCAGAGGGACAGAAAAAGAGTGTGTGAGTGAGTGCACACACCAGTATAAGCAGCAGACAGGTGTGGTTTTAGTGTGTGTGTGTGTGTGTGTGTGTATAAGATAGAGATATAGATGCAATTATGTAATTATATTTCTCCGTTGATACATTGTTTTATCTCTTTGTGTGGGTACTCATACACACATAGGTGCACATTTATATACACATGCACATAATCATTGCCAGTTGCTCTAGATATGCACACACACACACACACATGCACATGCATGCAGCTCTATATATGTGGCCGTCAACTCCATCTATATCTATAACCCGCCCTTCAGTTATATCTGGCTGTAGCTACACACACACACACACACACACACACGCATGCATGCACGCATGCACGCGCACACACACACACAGTTCCAGCTCTGCCCAGGTCTGCATTTAGATGCACAGCTGCATCTGTCTCATTAGGCTGGTCTGTACATCTGGATATACATTGACACAAATATCTGGATGTATCTGTATGGATCCATAGGTCTCCATATGTACCTATTTCCAGCTATGTATTTGTGTACAAATGTATGTGGCAGAGCTGTGTGTGTTGGGTGGGGTGGTCATTGGCAGGTCTATCCACAGCTGCACTTTTCTATATCCCCACAGGCAGCCGAGGTCAAGCACCCTGAGCTGCTGCTACCAGGTTTTATTTTTATATCTGTCCGTATGTAAATATATATAAACATACATAAGTGTAGATGTATCTGTAGAGGTGCCTGGAAATCTGTGTGTGTAGATGTGCATGGCTGTGTGTGTGTGTGTGTGTGTACACTCTCTCTCTCTCACACAAGCACCCCCCTCATCTATCTATAAATCTGTCTGTCTATTGATAAATCTATTATCTATGTGTCTGTCCATCTGTCTGTCTATCAATAAATCTCTCTTCTGTCTATCTGTCTGTCTATCTATGTCTATCTATCTGTCTGTCTGCTTTTCTGTCTGTGTCTATCTGTCTATCAGTCTGTCTGTCTATCTATCTATCTGTCTGTCTGTGTCTATCTATCTATCTAATCGATCTATCTATTTATTTCTCCTTCCTTCCTTCCTTCCTTCCTTCCTTCCTTCCTTCCTTCCTTCCTTCCTTCCTTCCTTCCTTCCTTCCTTCCCTCCCTCCAGAGGGCCCTTCCAACCCCTGACATGCCGTGATTCTGTGATACATGTATGTATGTTTTATATATATATATATATATATATGGATGTATCTCAATCTATGCATGTGTGTGCAGTCTAAGCATGTATGTGTGTATATGGAGGGATACACAGATCTATATGTCTGTACACACACACGTACATGCAGTGCTCTCTATGTATATGCATGTATGAAATGCAGCTGCTCAGCAAGAGCTGAACCCATCGACGTGTCTGTGCAGCCGTGGGCAACCAAGTGGCTCAGAGAGTCTCCAGGCACATGTATGTATGTATGTATGTATTTATGTATGTATGACACCCCCCCTGCAATACCACATGTGCATATCTGTGTGTGTGTCTGTCACACGTGCTCCTGGGGGTGCCTGGGGCTCTGCGGGCAGTGGGAGCCGCCCCGGGGTGGGGCCCCCGTGGCAGAGCCCTTAAAAGCAGGAGGGAGCCCGAGTGCCCCAGACTGAGCCCCTGCCAGCCCGCGGAGCCAGCAGGTGAGTCCCAGCAGGGCTGGGGGGACCAGCTGGAAGAGATGGATGGAGAAGGTTTGGGGACCAGCTGGGAGGGATGGAGGGGACTTGGGAAGCAGCTGAGCCCTGAGGAGCTTGGGGTGCCCCTCGCTGCGGGCTGAGAACGTGCCCCTGTTCAGGGGCCACCAGGACCCTTCCTGCTCCGTC